TCTAATTTCTACAAAACTTTATAAGGAATCAAGAAACATCATCGGCTTTGAAACACAAATATCATAACTCTCTGAGCAGTAGAGCCTCAACTCAAAATAATTACTAATGATTTGTCCATAGTGTTGGGGAGTGTTTGGGTAGGGCTGACTCCCTTCTCCTTGCCAGCCCTTAAGTTTATTAACACATTCATCTTATAAGACAGCTGAAAAGCGTTCAGAACTCCACGAAGTAAAAATCAGGCAGAATAGTTGCCGATAACAAATTCCATTTATTTTATTTGCAAGAAAATATTAAATAACATTCAGATTAATCACGTGGACTCTTCCGTTTTCTCATACTTAAGGCTTTCTGCTTGAACATTCCCGGGGGTCTAATATAAGACAGAGAGACTGTCCTGCCTTAGAACTGACTGACAGAAAGACCTGGCTCAGCTTTTTCAACCTGAGTGACCTCCCTCTTCACTGCTCAAGATTTATTAATGACAGTAGTGGCATTCTGTTACAATATTCCCCTTCTCATGTGGACACTGAGCTTTGAACTGCCATTAATGCCCAGCAGACTCCTCCCAAAGACCATCCATATACTCACGACAGAGGGACTCGACAAAGACCCAAGACATGTGATGCTTTCATTCTCCTGCCCTTGCTAGAAAATCCCTCCAACTTCTGGGCTAGCCCCAAACTCTGAACCAGTTTGCCTATAGCCGTTGCCATCCGGTGAACCCTGCCTGAGCCAGGGCAGCCTCATGGCTGTCAGAGTAGAACGATACTCCACAGGGGTTTTTGCTTTGTCTTAAAATCATTTTATGGGGGGTTCATACAACTCTTATCACAATCCATACATTTGTACATGATGATGTTGTCATCATCATTCTCAAAACATTTTCTTTCTACTTGAGCCCTTAGTATCGGCTCCTCATTTTTCCCCTCCCTCCCCCACCCTCCCTTCCTCATGAACCTTTGATAATTTATAAATTATTAATATGTTGTCATGTCTTACACTGTCCGATGTCTCCCTTCACCCACTTTTCTGTTGTCCATCCCCCAGGGAGGGGGTTATATGTAGATCATTATGATCAGTTCCCCCTTTCTACCCCACCTTCCCTTCCCCTCCTAGTATCACTACTCTCACTATTGGTCCTGAGGGGCTTATCTGTCCTGGATTCCTTGTGTTTCCAGCTTTTATCTGTACCAGTCTACATCCTCTGATATAGCCAGATTTGTAAGGTAGAATTGGGTTCATGATAGTGGGAGGGAGGAAGCATTAAAGTAAAGGAAAGTTGTAAGTTTCATCAATGCTACACTGCACCCTGACTGTCTTGTCTCCTCCCCACAACCCTTCTATAAGGGGATGTCCAGTTGCCTACAGATGGGCTTTGGGTCTCTCCATTCTGCACTCCTGCTCATTCACAATGTTATGATTTTTTTATCCTATTGACAACTCATGATCACACAGGCTGGTGTGCTTCTTCCATGTGGCATTTGTTGCTTCTCAGCTAGATGGCCACTTGTTTATCTTCAAACCTTTAAGACCCCAGATGCTATAGCTTTTGATAGCCGGGCACCATCAGCTTTCTTCGCCACATTTACTTATGTACCTGCATTGTCTTCAGCGATCATGTCAAGAAGGTGAGCATATGGAATGCCAGTTTAATAGAACAAAGTGTTCTTGCATTGAGGGAGTACCTGAGCAGATGCCCAATGTTCATCAGCTACCTTGATACTAAACCTATAAATATATGCACATAAATTTATTGACCCATGGGAAGTGCCTAGTCAGGACTTTTTCTTAAGACTTCTAAGAGTGGAGTTCAACTTTGAACTTTTTGGTTAACAATTTCCTTACATTCACAAATCAAAGAGCTACATTGGTGGGCCAGTTCTGTCTGACTGGCCCAGCCTTTGGATCCTCTCTTTCCCTCAAGTCTTCTGTAGGCAGGACAAAGGTCAGCTCTGAGCATCTGAACAGCCCTGAGCTTCTGAGCTGTTGAGAAGATTGTTCTGAGCAGATATTCACAAACTGATCCCCTACGGTAAGTGATGCAAGGATCCCTGGAGACCCTGTGAGTTAGGCTTTGAGCTGCTAACTACAGGACAGTGGTTCAAACCTACAGAAGAGGCCATATTTACCCATCCAGTTGACAGTCATGCAAATCCTGTAGACGGTTGTTCTGAGTTGCTACCAACTTAATGGCAGAGGGCTTTGTTTGGCTTAGATAGTATATGATGCGATTAGGGGTCATGATGACACAATGGTTAAAGCGCTTAAATTTTAACTCAATGTTCAGTGGCTTAAACTCACTAGCTGCAGAAGAAAGCTGTGGCAGCCTGCTTCCATCAAGATTACAGCCGTGGACACCCTACATGGCAGTTTTACTCCGTCCTCTAAGGCTACTATGAGCTGGAATGCACTCATTGGCAGTGTTCTGGGACTCATAGGAAACACTTAGAGAGCACTCAAATGTGGACATATGGCTAACAGTGTTCTTATTTTTTAGATCTATATGTCTAAACCCTAAGTACTTATATATGAACCCTAAATATATATTGGTGTGAAATTGTTTAAAAATAAAACAATACGCTTGCCTTTTAGTTTACATATTTTCCACTCTCTCTTTTCCAAATTGGTTTCCCTATCTCTTCAACCCTTTTCAACATTGCCCCAACTATACCAGAGACCAAAATACCTTGATTGGCATAGAATTTTGAACCGGTACAAGAAATTCTCTTACGCAATTTCTTTCTTTTAGACATGAGATGGGTTTATGAGTAATTTATAAATTAGGGCCAGTAAAGGCTTCATGTGCAGAGAAATAAAAATTGCATCTGTCTAATTCTGGAATGAGGAAAGGAATAGAAACATTTTGGTGTAGTACAAAGGGCAGTGGCTTGTGGGACCAAGAGCCCCAATTTTATCCCTTTACAAGCCTAAATATTCATAAGTATAGAATATGAATAGTCATATAGTATTAAAAGCTCCTGTCCTACCACTCTGTAATAAGCAAAGGTAAAGGAAGTCCTGTCCTACCACTCTGACATAAGAAAAAGTAAAGGAAGTAATGAAGGTTATGCTTAATAAAGACAAAATATTATTAAGAATGTTTTAAAGCATTAAAAAGGATCCAACAGTTGCAATAATGATTATGGTAGAAAGCTATCTACCATAGGCAGCTTGCTAGTTAATGAAAGCTTTCACAGCAGATTCCTACAAATGGGGGTGAGAGAGGCTTTGCACAACAGAAATTGATTCTCACAATTCTGGAGGTTCGAATTCTAACTCAGGTAGTGTGACAGGGCCATACCCTAATTCTGCAGAGTTAAGGGAGACAGCTGTCTCATGACTTTCTCTTGCCTTTTATAGCTGCCAGCAACAGCTAGTATCCCTTGACTTGTAGACACATTGCTGCAATCTCAGCCTTCGTTGTCACAGGGAGTCTCTATCTGTGTCTCTTTTTATAAACTTGGCAGTCATATTGGACTTAGAGCTACCCTGATGGTATAATCTTAACTGTATTACAACTGCACTGTCCCCCATTTCCAATTGAGATCAGATGAGTCCACCAATGGATAGGGCTTCCACCTATATTTTTATGAGGTGTAATTTAACCCCTAAGAGGTAGCACAAGGAAAATTACTGGAAAGTATTAATCCATTCATCATTAATTTGAACTTGTGCATGTCTAGATGCTATAAATTGATTCAGTTTAAAATACAGTATATACCACATAAAGTTTTTGGAGTCATCGTTTAGTAAGGATTTCCCATGGTCTTGGAATAACCTATGTGCATAGCTTTCATGTGTCTATAAATAGGCGATGTCTATTTGGAATTATAACATATTATTTCCATACTTAAACATAATGTTATGAACCTTGCTTTATGGAACTTGATTTTATGAACTTTACACCTGATTTTGTGACCCTTGAAAATAACATACTGAGTGAAGTCAGTCAGTCAGAAAAGAATAAACATTGTCTGAGCCCACTTAAATGACATGTTCCTAAAAAACAAATGTATTGACCGAAGTATACAGGCAAATTACCAGGGGTAGGTTGGAAGGAGGAAGAACAGGGCTTGTTGTTTATGAGATGTGAATTTCTGCTAAGGACAACAGAAATATTGGGAAACAGAGAATGGCATTGGATGAACAACATGATAAATAAAATTAGTGTCACTGCATTTTACACGTGAGGAATGTTGAAGTGGCAAATGTATTTAACACCAAACACTTAAATTGAACACCAAAAGGCTTTCTTATAATTCAACCTTAGGTCATGTCTACAGGATGGGGAATATATAAAGATAAAATAAAGCCTTAGGAATTTGGGGTGGGAAGGGAGTCTTGTTAAGCTCCAATTACAGGTAAGTTAAGTTTCCAAAGAAAACTCCTGGGACTTTCTCAAAGATACATGCTCATTAGTGTTGGCCTTGAATAACATATCTCCTCACTGTAGACTGTTGACTGTAATATAGACTCTAGTATTAAAACACAATGTTAACCATGAGACTAATGTCAAGTTGATCTCCAAGATGAAGCCTCAGATCCATAATAAGGGGACATCACATTTCATCCTGGTGGAGTAGACTAAAGCTTTGTTCACAAAACCTACAAGGTATAGAGGCAATGATGATTCGTCAATGCAATCTGCTAGCACCTTTCAATGAAAATAAAATGTGAAAACGATGCTGAAGCCCTTTGAGATGCTTGAAAATAACTGGGAGTGTTTTCCACCTTTGACTCGTGAGATGACTGGGATGATAGAATAATAGGAATGAAAGTAAGAGAGCCAACGCGAAGAAGGCAAAGGAAGAGGCTGGGAGCTGAGGTTGAGGACAGCTTGCTAATTCGGCTGCCCAGAGAGTATTTAAGGTTTGACCACTAGATGGCGATGGAATGTAAGGTGCTACCTCGCCTTTTTTTTTTTTTTTAAACAAGCTATTTGCTGATTTGTATTAGGTACCATAGAGTGAGGATGAAGCCGAGAGGATACTGCAGAGGTCTCCGGTGCATGTGTGTATGTGTGCGCGCGCGTGTGTTTGTGTGTGTGTGTGTCCGGCCCCAGTGAGACTGCAGCCCTTGTAAATACTTGGCCACCTTCTGTAAGAAGGCATCCGAACAATTGCAACTGAAGGAAGGCAGGTTGGGATCCTCTGCTCTTTGGGAGGTGCTTTTCCTCACTGCAGATGGGTCATTTTCCTTTTGATCAGGTAAGCCATCAGATTGCTTCATCTCGAGCCTAGGCTAATTTAAGGCCCGCTATGCCCTCGGAACGACAGCCGGTGGAAATGCAGTTTGGGCAGAGCAGGAAGTCCGTTTTTGTAGGTGAATTGGGACCCATCTGGCCCCCTCCTCCCTCTCTTCTCCTCCCCTGCCCCTCCCCCCTCCTCTCGCCACCTTTCCACTGAGCTGAAGTCAGGTTTGTTTTGCCGGTCAGCATTTTGATGCAAGATGGGTTCCTTTGCCCTGAAATAGCTTGGAAATGGGCCGGTTCTTGCCTTTGCTAGCTTCCATCCTAGTCAAGGTCTCTTTTGGAAGCCCCCACCCCACCCCGCCGCCCCCACACCCCCGTTCACCGGGGCTTTCGATGGACTGTGAATAGAGGTCATACTGTTCCTAAGGATGGAGCAAAATTAGATCTCCGTTTTAACCCCCCTGGAAGGAAGGAAAGCCGGCGGGCTGGGGCCGAAACCTAGCGTTGCAGGGACACTCAGCTTCTTCAAGCTGAACCTAGGCTTTTGGGATGGAATGCCTCGTGCCTTGTGGGGGAGGGGAAGACAGTGACACCCCCCCTCCCCCGTGACCCCTCTTGAACCCCACTGACAAAGTAGCTCGCGGGAAGTGGTTAAAAATCCTCCTTCCCATGCACGGAATGGCAAATGGGAAGGGCTGACTTACTTTTAATTAGACAGAGGTCACCATCAGCAATGATACTGCAGATGCGGCTCCGGGGTTCCCAGTGTGAACCGTCTTGCTTTCCCAAACAGCACCAGACCTCTAGCTGGGGGGACGTGAGGCTTTTCCAAAGGGCTTTGCATTCATGGAGCCCCTCTCTCCTACTTGTTTGAGGTATGTGTTTCAAGACAGCCCCCCACCCCCACCCTGTGTCCGCAAGCTGATTTCTGGTACTTCCTTTCCGTTCCCCTTCTGGGACTCATCGCCTGTGTGCACTTGGCTTTGAGACACCGCTCCTCCTCGGAGCGGTGGTGGGGGCTTTCTTCACGTGGCCAAGGAGCCGGTGGGAAGCCAGAGCAGGGTGTTTCCTGGCAGTATGTGCATGTGACTAAATATTTCGGAGGTGCAGACGCCAGCTTGCACATTGCCAAACGCTGTGCTATCACACCTATACAATGTGCCTGCCGCTTCGATGGTTCTGCAGGTTCCCGTGTGTTGCCGATGCGCTGGCGTAGTAACAGGGCACATTTCTCCAGGCGGCTTTGCAAAGCCTCCCAAGAGGATGGTGCCGAAGAGAAAGCGGAAAATTCCACGCTGGGGTTGGCGGGGCTTGCTTTGCTCCCTCTTGCCCCCCGCTGTGGGTGGCACACCTTTCCGGTTTGCTGCCATACCTGGCTCGCCAGGGTGATGCAACTGGGCGCTTCCGCAAGCCCCCAGGGGTTCGCACGTTTCCGCCCCCGCTTCCTCCTCCTCCTCCGAGCGCTTCCCAAGCTCCCTGCAAACCCGGCGTCGCCTTTGCGATCGCCAAGAAGCCGGCCGTCGCAGCTCGCTTAGAGGAGGAATGTTGCCATCCGGGCCTTCCTCCACCAAGCTCCTGGAAGAGAGTTGTAGATGGTGGCTATTTTAGGAACGTAATGAGTGGTCGGGGCGGGATGGCCACTGAGATTTACGGGAAAACAATGTCGCCCGGAGGGTGAAGTAACGTTATACTGCACCCGTCGCTGTCCTCGTCGTCGCTGGTTATCCCGCTGGAACCCAGCCTTGGAGTTCGTGTTCCTTAAACTCGGGGCAACTCATGTGTGGGCTTTGTTTTGGTTTGGTTTTCTCGTCCCCTTCCTAAGACTTGTCAGATTTTTCAAATATCTATTTAGGAGACCGCTACATCCATAATGCTCAGACTGGTTTAAAAAAAAAAGTAGCCCAGTGGATTGTGGGATCCTAATGTCCATCCTTCACGGGGCTCCTTCTTGCGGGGGAAATTTGCCATCTGGAGACTCATTTATTAAGGCCATTTCCCTTTAAGGCAAGAGAGGGGTTCTCCAACCAGGGGGTCGAGGTCCACCCGGTGGAGGCCTAATTAATTATACAGTCTCCAAGGAGGCACAGGGACAGAGCCAACGCTCAGCCTCATTTAGGGGACACGGGGCAAAGGACAGAAGGAAAGGCAGTCCCATGAGGGTGGCCAGGGGGAAGCATCTCGGCTCCTTGCTCAGGACAGTCACAGAGAATTAAGGAGGGAAAGCCTACTCGGGTTTTTAAAAATTTCCTTATCTTTAAATTCTAGGTTTCCATGAACTGTTCCATTACGAGAGAAACTTCTCTGGGTGTTGCTGGAGAGGACTGGAATAATGGGAGGTGGCGGGGAGGGGGCGAGATAGAACACAGAGACCAGCTAGTTCCCATGATAGTTGATAGAAGGCTGACACGTAGAACCAACCAACGAAACGAACTGTCGTCCAGCGATTCTGCCTCAAAGGTTCTCACAGAAGCTTAGACAGGGTGCACAGGCAAGTTGTTGGTTTCTCCTACAGGGTCTGGAGAGGCTGAAGGAGGAACTCTCCACTTCTCTCTTACAGAGAGCAGAGGCTGACACCCCCACTCCGTTTCTTGGAAAGAGGTGGGGGATGAGATTCACAGTGAGAAAGTGAAGCTATTGTAATCACCACTCTGGGGGGCGGGAGGAGGCAATGGAGCTGTGAATTGTGGAGTAATGCCTTCCCTTTGAAATTCAACTTCGTCAATTAAGCAGGCTTCACAGCTCAATTTAGATTCAACCAGTTTGGGGGTGGTAGGTGCTGTGGAGTGGATGCCCACTCAGAGGGAATCCAGGTGACCAACTGGATTGGAATTGGCCCAGAAGGTTTATGGGCTGCAGTTTGGGGAGTCGATTGACAGGTCTTTCTCCCTTGGATGTGCTGGCTGGGGCCGAGCCACCAGCCCCTCTAGCTGCTTTAGTGACGGTGCCTCCCCTTTGGGCTACAGGATGGGGGAAAGACATTTAGTCTCAGAGCAGGAGACAAATTCAACCGTATCTTCCTCAACCGTTCCAACATTTGGACTCAACATTTTCTCTCTTCCCATTTCCCCAGCCGTTTCATGTCACAAAGACATGTAGTGCTTACAGGGTCCCTGCCGCTATCCTCAGCAACACAAGCCACCTCAGAGAGATAGCATGTTAGCTGCAGACCACCATGAAATGAATCACATGAAAAGTACTGTGGATTTCCAGTGCATGCAAAAGTTCTGTTTGTACTGTCCTGTAGTCTAATATGTATGAAATAGCATCAGGTGCCAGTTTGAAATATGGTGAGCATCACCAAGGTGTGACACAGACACAAACCTATTGGGAAGATGGCATGGACACACTTACTCCAAACCCGGGTACCACGGACGTTCCATTCGTTACCAAATAAACACACAGAACCTCCGTATCTGTGAAGGATCATAACACCAAACATGCCGAGACTTTACCAATATCTCATTTAATACGAGGAGGTAGGTACTGTTTTAAAATCCATTTTATATATGAGGAAACTAAGATACAAGGAGATGCATTCCATAATTATAACTTGGGAAATCTGGCCACAGAGTCTGCTACTACTGACTGTTCTTTGTGACCCCGGTGAGGGTGAGGCTACAACAGCTTCTACCAGAGGTCAAGACTCAGATTGTGGTTGTGTGCAGTTCTGGGCACATTGTCAGCTGTGACTCATAAGCTCCCTTACACACCAATTCCGCAATATTTTGGTTCAGAATGATTCCTTAAATCTGTTGATGGGGTTGCTAACTGCAAGGTCAGCTGTTGAAAACTAGCAGCCCCTCCTCAGGAGAAAGATGAGGCTTTCTGTTCCTGTGAAGAATTACATCCTCAGAAACCCACCGGGTCAGTTGTGCTCTGGCCTGTAGCGTTGCCATGAGATATAGGTGCTGGACTAGGCGGAATTCAACAATATTCCTCCCTACATGGAAGGAAGTGGGGGCGGAGTGGGGACCAGCCGGGCCTCACAGAGTCTTGGAATGTGTCTGAAGGACCGAAGTGCAGTGGCCTTTACAAGAAGTTTCTGGGTTCGGGACCAGATCTGTTGCTAACCACGTTTCTAAGGATTTGTAAGTCAACTGAAATGGGTGCATCTGGCTCATAGGCAGAATCACCTTGATGGCAGTGAATTTTGAATGTTAGTGAAAGAAAAGGCTCAGAGACCTTTCCATGATTTAAAGACAGCATGTGCAGCAGCTGAAGGTGATCTGGGAGTTGGTCCCATTGTTTCCAATCGAGGGCAAATGTATGTGACACCGAAGGGCAAGTGCTAGTTGCCTGTAAATAGGACATTTGGAAACCAGAGAGTGCATGTTTAAGAACAAGAAATCAAGAAAAAATTTCAAGTAAATTTGTCTTTTTCCAAGTTGAAAATTTCCAGTTAAAAAAAAAAAGTAAATCAGTTGTTTTCAGATCAACCCAGTTTTAACAGTGTTTATAGTTATGTCCCCCTGGAGCCCTGCTGGTGTAGTGGTTGCGAGTTGCCCTGCGATCCACATGTACGGCAGTTCAAAGCCACCAGCAACTCCTAAGGAGAAAGACTGGACGTCCTACTCTCCAAAACAGTTTATAGTCTCAGAAACCCTGGGTGGGGGGCGAGTTGCGGGGGTTCACTGTGTGTCAGTATTGAACTTGACTGCAGTGAGCTTGGTGTGGGGTGAAGCTATATGCCAGATGCACTGGTGGCTCAATGGTTAAGTTGATCAACTGCTATCCAAGAAAGGACAGGCCTGCTGTGCTTTGTGAGATGGAAATGAGTCAGGGTTGACTGGAAGCTACCTAACAACAGCAGAGCTTTGTAAAAATGGCCCAGCTCCTAAAATAGAGTACAATTGGTTCAAAAATGCTTAACATACGATGGGGGGGGGGGGTCTATTTGAGTAAGATTAGTGGGTTGGCTGATAGAAAATATTAGCCGAAAGTAAGAACAAAAACTGCCACTCCATTAATCTTACGAATACTTAAGAATCACTGTGTGTGCTGTCTAGTTGAGTCTGA